GAACTAGAAATACGGCAGTTTTACTGTAATATGTATTAAGTTGCTGGGCAAAAACTTAATAGCACATATATATACCTCGGAAATTCTAAATAAACTGTTAAATGAACTCTAGTATAATCCTAACCGTTAGACTGCAGTCAAATAGCTAGGATATTCTAGCAGCTGCACGGGTAAGGTTAAAATCTATTTGTATGCATCTCGTTCATGTGCCTAGAGAAAGGTTGTCTAGTTGCAATAGTGAGACTTAATTGTCTATTTGTGGTATTTTTGACATAGACTCCCTAGTATTTTAATTGTTATCAATGGCATATGTCACCCTTTGCATTCGTCACGTGACGGGCGCGAATTCTTGAAAGGATTTTGAAACCTCTCCAAGTTACTGGCTCACTGCTAGTCGTGTCAGAGACAGCTGTCTCTGAAAAACTCATTGGTTGGCTAAACGTTTGCGTTATTTGCACTTTGTTATGTCCGCTTTGCTTCGACACTAATTAAAACCACTAGTTAATTTTACGTACTGTTTTTAAATTAGTGCACCTCACCCCTGTTCGAGGACGGATGTAGGCCTTTGTGAATCCAGCCAGTCAAATTTATCTTTCAATGAAAGCATAAGTAAGTGTGGGGATATGAAATGACCACAACATGTTTAAAGCTGACAGAGCTTTTCAGATTACAAAAGAAATGAGACGTTATGGTATAACAATGCTAGAAGTCTGCAAAAGTAGATGAAATCGAAGTGGACTATTTAAATTGCTAACTGAAATGTCAGCAATTCTCTCCGGTTACCCAAACCATTAACACGAACACACTGCCGCGAACCACATTGAAGGCAGTCCCACGGTGGCAACCAAATTGCTTTAGGTTCATGATGGTAAGACTCGAAGAAAATGATGGTTACAATTACACATAGCCACACACCTATAAACAGCTCAGGCCATGAGAAGAATAAGTAATTTTGTGGACAACTGCAGTCAGTAGCGGACAAGACCTCAGGTGGTAACACACTACAATTTTAATGGGTGGAATATGTATATATATATATATATATATATATATATATATATATATATATACCAAAAAGGGAGCAGATAACACAAAAAGAAAACTCATCATGTGTCGAAGGGCGCTTGGTGAGATGAATGAGTACGGATAACTATTCACAAACTTCTGCACCTTTAATAAATTGTTCAAGCACATGAATATTCAAAAGGCGACGAGGCTTTCACCAGATAGAAAAACCAAAAATTAGATAGACCACTTCAGCTTCAAGAAAGTGACGATGCAGACTACTGAACAGAAAGTCGAAAAGAAACGTAAGTTTAGATCATTAAGTAGTCCAGTAATGCTTCTTCACCAAGTTCGAAGCCTTCATTATTCAACTCCGGACACAGAAACTGAAAGACAAAATTACACAAGAAAAATTAGCTACAGTCAGCTTGCAAAATTAAGAGAGTGTAGCATCACCTAGAACACCTGCTTGAAAGTACCCTGAAACAGTCTAAAGCGACATGGAAGGAAACCTGCATAGATATCTTGGATAAAAAGGAGTGATCAGGCCAGCAGTGGCTCTGTATGGACATTTACAAGCTAATAAAAGAGTGGGGATTGATGAAATAAGTGAATAACGAAAAGAGAACATGAGTTCATGGTACAACGCATTGAATAAAAGAGTGAAGAAATTTCCTGGGAAGAATAAAAGACCATTTTAATGCCCTCAAAGCTGAAGAAGAACAGAGTGTTGGTAATACACACCTCAAAACACTATATCAAATGACTACGTCACAGATGAAATCAGTGATAGTGATAGCAACCAAATTACAAAAGTAGAACGGAGGCAACGGTGAGCTGACTAACTTAAAGTACTCCTGCATCGCCCGCCACCTACAACCCGTCCAGAAATACCACCCATAGTCAAATAACTACCAGCAGAAACCAATCTTCTGACAAAAGAAAAGCCTTGAAGACCATAAATTTATCAAAGACCATGAAAGCAGCATGATCAGATGGAATCCTGTTCCTCCCAGAAACATTGGAAATGGGCCCAGAGACCTCAGCGGACGTGCTCACGCCACTACTGCAGAAGGTTTGACAGGAAGGAAAGGTACCTACTGATCGAAAGAAGAACAGTCGAAGTTTTTTTGAGGACTAGCGCAACATCTTGCTCCTGCTTACCCTAAGCAAAATATTAAGCCTCATCATCCTGCGAAGACTACGCTGAAGATCTCCCTTCCCCATCCCTGAAATAGTCTGGATCCAGGGAAAATCAGTCATGCACGGATCAAATTATATTATATTACGCATCGCCATCGAACACAGCCTAGAATGGCAGTCAGCTATTTACCTCAACTTCATTGTTTTTGAAAGACTTTTGGTTCCATTGATGGTGAAGTAATCAGGAGGCATCATCAACTCTGCGGAGTGCCGAAACTACTTTGCTATATCACGTGGTTTGTATTTCTGTTGTCTATGAATTTTGAACTCTCATTTGTTGGTGACACTTCTTACTTGTGAGTGGGTTTATTGTTTGTTATGGGAACTTAGAACCTGCATATTCAGCATCACACTAGAGTGCTTGCAGTTATTTGAGAGAGTAAGACTGGTCCATCTTCCCTCTTCTTTTCGTGTGTCGGTGCTTTTGTTGTGGTTGATGTTGCATTTGACGAACGGAGTAGTTTCTGTTTCCGCTTAGGTTCATATATCTCTCATCATAGTAGTAGGTATTATCGGTCATATCCAAAAGAATCAACACGCTTGTCATTTACCTTAAGGTCAGCAGTGCTCTTGCCAACTTCCTTGTCTTGGAAGAGGCCTTCGGTTGCCTCTACCTCGAAGTAATATAGCAAATAATTCAACACAACTGAATGCTCCAAACAGTGATAGACATCATTCTACGGCTGTATTACGATACCGCATGTCGAGTAATCCATAACCAATAGCTCACCAAAGCGTCTGAGGTGAAGACAAAACTACTTACTATCGCTGTTGATATTCCTGGTTGTTGTGGACTGTACTGTATCGCCAACAGTTAAGGGTGAACATACGTTTGACGACAAAAAGACCTAAAGATATTGATTTCGTATGTGATCTATGTCTATTGTCTCACACACTCAAAGATTTCGAAGCGAGAACCGACAAGTTGGCAGAAGAAGTAAAGAAGAAAGTTCTTCTAGTTAACATAGACACGAGGAAGTGATGAAGATGCCCAACAGACAACAACAAATACCACTCACCATTATTTGGAGAAATCCATGTGAATTCGTCTCTTGTATTCAGTCGAATAGGCAGCACATTTGAGGATGTCAGGAAAGCGACATAGATGTTTATAACTCTGAAATCACTACGGAAACCTGCTGCACTCCGCATAATAGAACAGGATCCTCATCTTCAACACTAATGTCAGATCAATGTTTTTATATGGTTCAGAGATGTGGGTGTAAACATTTTTTCCATTTTTACTAAGCAGAAGCATTCTACTGTTGATGACGTACATTTACTCATTTCCTCCTTCATATTCATGTCTCCGTTCTTTTGGAATTCTACTTTTCACTTCATTTTGTATGTTCCAATATTGCTGCCCTAAACTAATGTATTCCCGTACAGAAATCTGTATTAGGGAAAATTACGGAGAATATCATCTTTTGCATCAGTCACTTCGTTCATTTGAATGCATATATCATGAGAAAATAACTGTACTTGTTGCGTGACTGAGTTTCAAAATAGAACTCAACAAAGAAGTACAGCGGTTCAAGTTGCCACATTCCATATAGCACACAAAGAAAGACAAAAGAGGAAAAAAACGGATTCGGAAGTACTGCGATGAGCAGAAATGTGAGGGAGAAAGAACAGAGTTTAATGGATATGGGAGGTTGCAAAAAGTGAATGCATCTGCGCCATTGAGAACAGTCTTGATGTATATCACTGATTGTCTCCAATCATTGTTTTTCAGCACCCTGAAAATTCCGGCCAGAAAGCCTGCACACTAGTTGTCAAAGGTTTCATGGACTGATTCCAAGTTTTGGTTTGACCACCACTAGCTATCCTTTTTCCGACCTGATCGTGTGTCAGCTAACACTGCCCGTCGAGTAAGGCGATGGCTAGGCATGCGTAATATATGTCTTAAACATCTCACTCAATCGATGTAGCTTCAGAACTTCATCGATTGACTTTCCCTCTTTATCTAACACTCGACGCCTAACCTTAGTATTATTGACCCTATTATGCCACCTAACACGGAAGATAGAACGCAGGCACCTATGGTCAAAGACAGCTAGGCTTTTTATATATTCCACTTTCAATGGTCATTTCTCACAGCCATGAAGGAGGATGGAACGAACTGCTGAGCAGTACACATTTCCTTTGGTCGACAGTCGAATATCACGCCTGCTCCAGAGATGGCATAAGTTGGCAAATGCCATATGAGCCTTTTGTATCTGAGCTGAGATTTTGTCAACAATCAGTCGACCAAGGCTGATACAGCTTCCCAAATAAGTGAAGTAGTCAGCACGCTCTACCATTTCACTCCCTGTGTTTAAGCTAGGAGTTGGCGTGGTCCTGTCTTGCAACCTCATCTTTTATTTGACAGGGGAGAATCGCATACCAAAAATTCGAGGATTTCTGCTCAGGGTGTTCAGAAGACTGTATTTTATCAAAGTCCTCACTCTAGGAGTAAAATGTAATCCACATAATCTAAGTCGATGAAACTGTCCCCTGATAACAAGTCAATCCCATTAGTATATCTATGATGAAGTTAAACAAACATTGGGACAGTTGACATCTCTGACGGGCACCACATTACATCAGATGATAATTCTCCGTAAGCTCATACACTACCTCATGAGTTCGACTTATTGCGTGCCTATGTGCGACTATTGTTTATATGTTAATGTTAAGTATTTTCATTCCTAGTTAGCTTTTTACGATACTCTAAATAATACTACTCTATTTGCCAATTTGTATTATTATTTGTGCCTTTTAGGTTCGCGAAATTCTCTTGAAAAAATACAATGTCTAGCGGTGTAAAAGCCGTTAGACCAATCTTGTCGAGAAATCATGCAGAAGCTCGAAGACGTGCCATCAGTTTATATCGTGCTTGGTATAGACAGTTACCATTTATACCAAAGGAATATGCTCAGTCGAATGCAAATATTACAGTACCGATTCTGCATGACAGATTAAGGAAGGAGTTTTATAAAAATAAGGATATCAAAGATCTACGTGTAATTGATTTATTAATCCATAAAGTATGTACAAAATTATTTATGTAATTATCCTATGTATTTTTAGTGGCAAAATGAACTGATTGAAGTGGCACATATTTGGAAGTCGGATACACATGTGATGGATTATTTCAGAGAAGATAACCTCCCAGAAAAACCTAAAGATTTCTTGGACAGATTTTTAAGTGGGAAGTCATAGTCATTATAAATGCTTGTTAACTGTAGAGTTGTTAATTTGTAGTTTAAAACACTGATTTTTGTTTTATACTGTTAATTTGTTTCGAAAAGAACGTAGATAATGCATAAATTGCATGACACTTCTTGTCTAAATGAAGTTAGACTACACAAATTAGTGTATTGTAAAGACTAAAGGTTGTGACTGTTTGATGAAACCGTTAATGTTCATTCCTAACGTCATACGGAGTTGCATATACTTTTACTACCGTATGTTCACCTACTGGGGTTCGAAAAACGTGGCAGCTTCACTATCCAACTCTCATTCTAGCACATCAGTAAGACTTGTTGAAAGAAGAAGTACTTTTACAACATCGACATAAGCTTGTATACATGATTCTTCGTAGTCGAACTGTTGGAAGTACCCACGAAGTGTATGTAGATAGTTGTGTGCTCGTTGATATGTGACATGATATTTATGATAGTTTGTCATGCCAATCTAGCTTACTACTCGTAATATTTAGATCTGAATCTGTTAAAGGTCATGTTTACAAATCCGCGGTGCACACAGTCCTATTATCCCTGGAAAATTTGGCTTGTCTGAACCAAGATCGTTCGATAACTCTGTGTTTAATGATCGTTTGCTTATTTTCGTTCGCGACGCTAAACATGATTCTGATATTCGACAGTGTATGTATAGATAAAGTAGAGGTTGCCTCAATGAAATGAGAACACCGACTTATGTACCCGTCTTCTTAATGCTATTTTGAATATACTAGACCTATAACTGGACGCAAGAAGTGCAGAGGTAGTCGATCAATAACTTGATGCCCTAAATTAAGGGGCAGTTGTATTACGGTAACATTCTGACCGCCTGACCATGCTACTCAGCAGCTCGAGACGCCATACAGAGGCTTTTAGAGTCCAGACCAATGGCAGTCATGACGAAGATACCTTGTTTATTTTACTATAAGGAACTGGTGATGTGAATGTAGTTAGAATACCTGTCTAGTTGTTTGTTGTGTTCTATTCCTCACACTAAATTTTGTTGTCCACGTTCTGGTCCTCATGATCCAGGAAATCTGTGTTTAAATGAAAACAACTGCGGGAGTTGAATCCCATGAAAATATTTTGTTCAAAACCACCTAATTTAATATAGCAGATTCAGTCTATGAGCGGACTAATAAAAGCTGTAAAATGGTAAGCCATATATCTGATACTAAATCAGTCCCAAAATTATGTGATTCACTGGTTTCATATGCAATATGCTGTTAGTTGTAGAGAAAAATAACATTGAAGTAATCACCAGATGTACATCGGTGTATCTTGCGATTTTTCTAAATGTTATCATAACCCAAAACATTTTCAAAAAATGGGGAATTAGGTGGTGAGTACGATGTAACCGCAGTTTAACAAAGCAATATTACTTTTGCACGTCCTTAGGCGTGTTAAAGAGAAGCGTACTTAACCGAAGTTGAAGCCAATAAATATAAAGGCCAAAAGCCGTCACGTGAGTGGAGGGATTCCCCATCACCGGCAACCTTTTCCAGACGGGAAGATTGTTCTAAGATAAAAATTTCACCTGAATGTCCTGATGTCCTAGTAGGTGACTAGATTTCAATCTCTTCAAGTCGTCATTAACTTCACCAGAAGAGTACTAATAACTACCTTAACTCGGTTGTGTCCCCACAGAAGTAAATGAGCGGATGTTTACTATGTAGCAATGGATTAGTAAGTTTTAGTAAACTTTATTTTAGGACAAGATCTTCGTTTTTATTTGAATCATTTCAGTCTGTTCCCAATCGTTACGCAGAAATTACCCATCCACACACAGAAATAAGAACATGCAATTTAGTGAACTCTTTTCGACGAATTCATTCATTTGACTGTATGTTCGCAATTATAAATGCATAGTTTCGTAAATGTGACAAAGGGAGTGAAGATTAGTAATAATCTCCATCCAGACATTAGTGAAAAACAAAACACTTAGTTCAGCGTTAATAATTGCCATATCAAAAATGCAAAACGTAATAAAATATTGATATCAGTTGTGCGTGTTATTAAATGATAGGGAGGAGTTGGTGAAGTCTATTCATCGCATAAATTAGAGTTTTCTATATGAATGAATAAGGCTTTAGCAAATGTGGAGAATACGGAAACGTATCGTTTTCGCGGGATTTCTGTAGACTATGTGGATAACTTTGGATAGATTTTCCATAGATATCGAGTGTGACAAGTTTCAGCACTCCGAATTGACCCATTATGACTTATTTAGACCATACACGTATCGAATAATCTGTGTATCTCGCCCCACCGAAGCAAGTGAATTGGTAGAAACAGAGGTGTTTAAATATGGAAGTTTGTTCCAGGTTGTTGGAGAACATTAGACAGCAGGAGGATATCAATTCTTAGATGCGGAGAACGTTCTTTTTAAGGCGTGTGTTATTTCCTTCCTAAGGAAGTTCCCAATTGTTGTTGTGTAAGTCAGATGACATCAGCATATGCAGTGGTAGTGACTCACTTTTGATAGAAGCTCAGGCAACCTCTGTATGACTCATACTATCACGAATTGTAGTTTGAATAGGCTATTTTAATGTTATGCCCACTTTCTAACTGCGCGATTTGCGTAAGGTGTCAATGTGCTGATATCAGTGACCAAGTAGAGTCATGTTCACTGTGTCTTGTAAGGCCTACCAAATCCACAAACCAAGTTGACAAGGAAAAGCTCCGTCCAGTTACTCTGCACCTTAGTGGGGTAACAACACAAAACGACTGTTCTTGTAGATTAATAAAATTCCACCTTTAGTACGACGCCCATTGTCGATACCACAGAGTCCCCCAATAGGTACGTATGAAATGTGCTTTTCCAGCTGATAGAGAATTATCTAATGTGCATCACTATAATTTTGTGGGCTCTGAGAAATCCTGAAGTGCTGTACGTACACTAATAAGTCTACCTGATATCGGCTAAAACACAGAGCTACATAAGTTCTGTCCAGAACAAGCGGACGTTCCATAATGGATCATGTGGTACAACTGACATATGAATTAACAGAGACTATACCCATTACTATCGACGTCACGAATTGTAGTATAAACTGTATATATATATATATATATATATATATATATATATATATATATATATATATATATATATTGTGGATAACTAAGGTTGTTTTTGTCGCAGTTGTTTGATTTAAATCTGACCTCTGTGTCTACTTAGTGTGGGGTACATTCGAGTGGTCAGTAGTCTGGAGGCGCGTTGTAGTCACGATATACAGAAACTAACAAAAGCAGTAACACTCCGTCCCAACAAAATTTTATTTCACTGAGTTAACAATTAAAACAGAATATATAATATAGCACAGAAACATTTATAGGAAAAGGTAATTGGAAAAATATGCTACGACATTGAACCGGATTACAAATTTATACAAATGTAACACATTTAATAGTTATTGAGTAAAAGAATATTTGATAAAATTACGTAAATCTTCAACAGGATTGTGATAAAATGGATCACCAAATAAAACTCTAGTTAGTCCGATTAGAACCAATCCAGCTAAAACAAAACAAAGGCATATCTTGAACGACGGTCTACGTATGTACAGAGCATCTGTAACAAAAGAAGAAACTGTATTAGGGTAGAGAAAGAGACGACAAAAAATGAATTAGTCATAACTAAATTGTCGTAAAAGTGTCTGATGATAAATGATACCTAACAGAGACGGTGTGATAGTACAGAAAGGGTAATGAACAGAGCATAGTTTAGAACACAAAAAACAAAACATCAGCGTTACGCAATGTATATACCGAACTTACCTACTATTACTTAACCTACTTAAATGATTTATGATTTGTATGCTTCTTTTCTATCTTATGAACTAAAATGTGCAAGAATGCCTATCAATTCAAAATACAACAAACTAGGATGAAACAGCAGCTGTCCAGTACTCCCTGGTTTTCAATGGTTCTCTAACTGATATCAGTCCGTGATCAACTCGTAAAACATAACTAATCCTTACAAACCAAACTATAGAACATTATTCTGATGCTCGCTAGTGACTTGCTACAGGTTGGAGCTTCCTGCAGTTCTAGTGAGAAGTCGTGACCAGTGAGGTCCAATTAGAAGTCACGTGTGGATGGATTTCCACCAACGACAATAGTTGGGGTCGCGCTAAAATCACGAATTGGTAGAAGTTAGAATTCATGAGCCATTGAATCGGGTCCCAGTGGCTGAATGGTATACGAGCTTGCCTTGTAACCGGAAGGTCCTGGGTTCGAATACCAGTGGGTGCGTACTGCCGATGATTCCCAAACTAGGATGAAACAGCAGCTGTCCAGTACTCCCTGGTTTTCAATGGTTCTCTAACTGATATCAGTCCGTGATCAACTCGTAAAACATAACTAATCCTTACAAACCAAACTATAGAACATTATTCTGATGCTCGCTAGTGACTTGCTACAGGTTGGAGCTTCCTGCAGTTCTAGTGAGAAGTCGTGACCAGTGAGGTCCAATTAGAAGTCACGTGTGGATGGATTTCCACCAACGACAATAGTTGGGGTCGCGCTAAAATCACGAATTGGTAGAAGTTAGAATTCATGAGCCATTGAATCGGGTCCCAGTGGCTGAATGGTATACGAGCTTGCCTTGTAACCGGAAGGTCCTGGGTTCGAATACCAGTGGGTGCGTACTGCCGATGATTCCCAAACTAGGATGAAACAGCAGCTGTCCAGTACTCCCTGGTTTTCAATGGTTCTCTAACTGATATCAGTCCGTGATCAACTCGTAAAACATAACTAATCCTTACAAACCAAACTATAGAACATTATTCTGATGCTCGCTAGTGACTTGCTACAGGTTGGAGCTTCCTGCAGTTCTAGTGAGAAGTCGTGACCAGTGAGGTCCAATTAGAAGTCACGTGTGGATGGATTTCCACCAACGACAATAGTTGGGGTCGCGCTAAAATCACGAATTGGTAGAAGTTAGAATTCATGAGCCATTGAATCGGGTCCCAGTGG